TGGGCCGGACCGGTGCCGTCAGGGTCGGGTTATCTTATTCCCATAGCAGTATAGGTTTTCAAAACGTTAAAGGACAGTGGCTCCTTGCCTCTTATTGACTGATCATTTGGTTGTGAGTCAACGTATGCCTTTGGCCTTGTGTACAAATAAACCGTTTTCGTACATTTTTCGGTTTTCACTATGAACACATCAACGCTCTAACAATTACTTGATGTTCGATTAAATGCGAGGTAACCATCGACTGAATGATGAGCTATCACGGACGTTTCGGGCGCTGATTGTCGCGTTTCTCAAGCTAAACCCGCGGTGGCAGTTCTCGGTTCGTGTTGAAATCCTCGACACCAGCTGATGGGTGTGCAGCTGCAGGTCTTACGGCTCCAGCTTTCGCCAACCACCTCAGCACCAACCGGAAACCAACACCATTTTCATCTTAAGCAACGCGTATGCGACACGGACCGAAACGCTGCCAACGGTTATCGCGTGATGGGACGATTCCTTGCGTTGTGTTTAAAGAAATCCTGCTCACGTGGTAATTCAGCACGGATAACGACATAAGAGGGAAATACAGCATCTTTGAACAGAAAGCATGCATAGGGGTCTAGCAATAACATGCAACAGTTAACATGGTACAACTTGAAAGAGTCGTTTTTTGAGGACATAGAGCTAGAAACCGTAGAGAAACTGCCATTTGAGTTCCATTTGTCGATAGCAAGACTAGTGGTCGCAGCTGCTAGATACGGAAGATTCGATCATTGACCAAAGGCTCGAACTCCATAAAGCTGAAATCAAGAACGCAGGGACAAGGTAGGACGAGTCAAATGCTATGTTATGACACGTCACTCATTCGTTGGTTCGTTCCTTAAATCACCCATTCGATTGTATACTTCTTCATTGGCTGAGTGAGTGAGTGAGTGACCGCCTGACCACCTGACCGACTGACCGATTGTTTCACTGATTCGTTCATTTGTTACCGCATTCTCGTTCATTCATTCGGTCGTTGAGCGAAATCGAAGTCAGACTTACATGTTTTGTAAATTATTAATCTGGGTAGTAGGCTACCAGAGGAGTCTAGTCGAAACGCGATCACAGTGGTCGCTGCCGTCGGACAGCATGACCGTACGCCTCGTCCATTCGGTTCAGCAAATCTGCTCGTCGCACAGCTGATTATCAGTACTGTTGCTGTGCCTGTCACGTGTTATGGGCAAGATAATTACTGAAACATACAACTGTTTTAGTCGCTGCAGTAATTCGAATGGATAGCAGTCAAGAAATGTTAATGCATGTGATTCAGAGTGCAAAGGGGAAGCCCAAGTTGCTGCAGCTGAGTAATCTGTTTATCAAGGAGGGCAAAGGAGCGGAAGAAAGGGTAATGTGGAAGTGCGAACTCAGCCGGAAGAACAAATGTGATGCCAGATTGCTCACATCGGATGAACGCGTCATTTTGTCAGTGGGAAAACAACCTCGCTGTGACTCAGCCAAAGCAGAAGTAGAAACAGTTATTGAAGAACTGAAGGAACGCGCCTTAATGTATTAGAATTCTACCCATGAGACTGTGGCCTCAGCTTCTGTATGGCCGTCACAAGCAGTGGCCGGAAAATTGCCATCCGTCCATCGCATGAAGCAGACTGTAAAGCGTTAGAGAGTCGAGTCACGTGTTGGACTACCGAGTCCATCGAGCCTAAACGATTTAGTTCTGCCGCAAGGGATCAGGCGCACATTTGGCTTGAGCATTTACTGATGCACAGCAGCATACCTGATAACAATCGCATGTTAATTTTTTCTGAATAATTTTCGGAATAATTTGCCACTTTTGACGCAATCATCCAACCGGTGTGTCGATGGAACATTTAAAGAACTTCCTCAATTGTTTCAGCAGCGGTATGCGATCCACATAATACAACGCTCTAGCTTCATACCACCAATATTTGCCTCGCTGAGGGACAAAACGGAGGCAAGTGTTGGAACGTGTAGGAATGTTGGGCGCCTTGAAACACCAGGGCCGAATTTTGGCACCTCAGTCGGTACTGATTG